CAAGCCTTCCATACGTCTGGGGTCCGTGAATTGGTACCAAGCTCGTCTGGGAGGATAAAAGCACTGACTTGTACATCGGCTGGCCACCGCAAGTCATTGTATAGGCCACATACGCTTCCATTACGCCACTACGATTCTGAATAGAAGTCGAGTGCGGGGGCGCATCTCTCAGACGGGATTGATTGACGCCAAAAACTTTATCCTTATCCTTTATCAGTGGAAACTGGGTAGTGTAGATTGGTGAGGGCTGGCTATCCAAGAAATGGCAAAAATTTATTATCTTGACCAGTATTCGATCAACTTCGCACATACACTATAGACGCATAAAAATGTAACGACGATTGCGAACGGTAGTCGAATGTATGGCGCGATCCGACGAAGACGTTGATAATCGCACAATGTTTCTACATCACATATCCGCCTAGATAGTCACTACTTTATCTTTTCTTTTAGGTTGGGCGAATATCGACATCAACATGGGCAGGCAGTATCATCTATAGTAGCAAGTTTTGCGGAATATATCCAATTGAGGCTTGCCGAACCATCAATTTTGCCGAATGATTATGGCAGTTGCACAAAAGTGGGTTTATTTCATAACGTCATATTTTTTACAGAGAAATACCCGGAATGAGCACACGGGCAAGGATATTCTGACCACCCTACCCTGCCCATATCCCTCCTTTTCATTTTGAAATTGCTCAGAAATGATCTATTTCGAGGCTGTCAAAAGCTGTCAGAAGCTAGACCAGATAGCTCCGCCCATTTGTTCTGAAAGCACTGCCTCCAGACAATGACGCAGTTTCTAAGGATAATTGAAGGCCTCCTTTTCAGGATTTGATTGAGCGACATGCTTCAACAGCGAGATTTTCCTACTTCTTATATCAAATAGAATGATTGTCGTACCTTGAAGGCGTTGTGCAATTTCTCTGCTTCTTCGAAGGTGAGCTGCTTGCCGAGTGTCATGTTGCACATTACATTTGTTACAAAATGTATACACTGGAATATTATCCAAAATTATCAAAAACGATCGCTGCTATGTTATTTTGAACTACCAAGCTAGTGATCAGCTCAATTTATCGATAAGAGCTTGATCATTATCAAGGGAGCGACTTGATCGCTTCCCATTATGGTTGATCCTGTCTAAGAGGGGAAGGGAATATCCCGCCCGCTGTTCGGGTTCATTCTCGGTCCTTTACGAAGTGAATCTCTAACTTGGAGCGGTATGGGAAATAATCGAGTCGCCAGGTGAATTTCTTTTCGAAATAGTTTGTGAGTTTCCTTCCTTCACAGTTATTTCTCTTTCAACTATGTCTTTGTAATGGTAGCCCTCAATGCCCACTCAATGTCCCTATTAGGGGAGATGCCCTGAGCGAGCCATATTTATCCTCTCAGACTCCTTTCAACAGTTTTCAGTGAATTCCCTTCTGATTAGCTATTACTGCTCATCCTAAGATGACTGTCATGGTCGTCAGGAAAATACCTTTTTACTGTAGTCAATGGCTTTTGGACTGAGTCCATTTAGCCGTGAACAGTTCTTGTCCAGCACGTTACGCATCCTTTTCCCCAGCTCCGGTGACTTTGCTTCAACTGCCGCAATCATTTCACCAACTTCATCGAACGTCGAATGTTTATCGAACACCTTAAAACATCAATGTTTATAGTTGATAATTTAAATAAACAACAAAAAACTGGAGGTGCATAGCGTCACCTAGGGCGTGATCAGACCTATGGTCAGGGGTTCAAACCGGGAATCGATCTCCCACCAAGGAAAAAAGAGCCTTCCACCCCTGCTTGTTCGACTATTGCTTATTGTCACTGTACAACAGAAATGTGGGGAAAATAAAGAAAATGGAACTGAAAATGATCAAAGAATGAGCTACAGGCTGGAAACACCCTGCTGACGGCGTGAAGCCTCTCTTTATGCATCTTTCCACAGATTCCTTAATTTCTGAATGTACTAGATTTTTTCGTCGAAAGGCTTAGAATTTTCATCCACTTGACTGGTTCTTTAGCAATTTTTTTGTCGAAATGTACGGCAATATTAATTGCTTCAAGCTTCAGATTACTTAATTTCTATTCCTTCATGGGTGAAAATGTAGTTGGGGGGGGCCATGCACTTTCGTACTCTGCGTCTCTTCAATTACCTCCTCCAACAACCTCACCCATCCCGGAGCTCCTCCCCTTCTAAAAGTTAGGGAAGGGGCTCCGGGGCGGGTGAACCAATTGGATGTTCAATTCTTACCTCATCCCAGCTTTTCGCATGAGATAATCATCTCTCCTATCCCGGAGCTCATTCCCTAACTTTTAGAAGGGAAGGAATTCATCTCTGCGATCTGTATGCACTCTGCCGCCGGTGTCAGGGACGCAGAGCACAGCAGGGCGCTGGCACCCCCCAACTACATTTTTCCCTATCATGAATCGATAACACTGATCGATGGGATTTACGGCAGCACAACGATACCAAATTGTGTCCAAACATACTGACCTCTTTCAGAATTTTCGCCTCATTCTCGTTGATGCTTTCAGCGAAATCGAGGTTTTCCTTGGGGAAAAGGCCTGAATTGGAAAAGTCTATTTTTGCAAGTTGTTTCTTTTTGCATCGCTTGTTTCTTAGCTAAGTTACCAGAATCAAAGTCTTAAAACAATTTTTCCCATAACTAATAACTTTTGCTGACATCTTTTGTGTAGCGGAGGTGGTATAGTAGCAAGTGGCGCACTATGTATATCCCACGCACGGTCAGGGGATCGAATCCCGGATCGATGCCCGCCTAAGCCAACCAAGTCTTCCATCCCTCCGGGTTGGTGAATTGGTACCAGACTCGTCTGGGAGGATAAAAGCACTGACTTGCACATCGGCTGGCCACCACAAGTCATTGTATAGGCCACATACGCACTCATTACGCCCCTACGATTCTGAATGGAAGTCGAGTGCGGGGGCGCATCCCTGAGACGGGATTGATTAACGCCAAAAACTTTATCCTTTATTCTTTATCTTTTACGTGTATCGATTAGGATCGTTTGCAAGGAGGGTCTCATTGAGGAGCTTTTGCAGAAATAGCAAAAGTAAACAAAAAGTAATGTGGGGAACATGTAGTGCTCAGCGTGGTACGATTCAAGCCTCTTTTGCCACAGAAACCGAGTTCAGCCTCTTCATGACCGCACGATGGGTGACAGATTGATTGCATATAGCTTTAACAAAATAGACCATTAATTGAGAAAAAAACTGCTACTCGTTTTCGAAATCAGAAGTAGGGAGCTGCGAGTTCCATCAGCGAGTTTAATGTTGTTCTGAGGCACGCAACTGATCGATGCTAGGTCTAGACCGGCCGCTTTGCAGCCGCGCTCGTCCGTGTCCTATTTTTCGTACAAATCTTCTATTGCACAGCAGAAGATTGCGAAAAAGTGAAAATTTTTCTGCCAACTGTATAACGGGGCTCTTTTATCCGAACTTTTTCTTGAAGAAATTCAAATTCAAACTCAAAAAAATTCACATTTTTATGGCTGAAATGATGATCAGCTTTTAGCAGAACATCTAAAGAAAACGTACTTTGAACATTAGGCGGAAGAGTCTGGATCATTTTGCTCTGTTCAGCTGGTGTCTTGATCAACCTGATTAAAAATGTACAGAACGCCATAATACAAGTCATCAGTTATCATCTATTATCTTCTAGTAACATGATTTATGCATTTTCAACGATATCAATGGTGTTATGACATATTCAGTTGCAAACGAAGAGAAGGTTGCAAAAATTGAGATTTTAGACGGGAGGTTGATGAGGGAAGTAAGTAGGCTCTGAATAAGTAGGCCGAGTTAATCTGATAAGAATCTGAATAAAATAGTCAGCTCTATGACTTAGCACTGTTCAAAACGAATGGAATGGGCAACCTTTGACCGCAGTGGTACCGCCCACTTGGGTGAAACATTGGGAGCGTTCGCGACCGGTTTTGGAATTGACGCTTTTTGATGACTACGTTCTTTTTTCGATGATTGGACACCCATTTAAAAGCATCAATGCCTCTCTTCTAGATAGTGTCATGGGCCTACAGAGGGATTAATCGAATGAAATTGGCCTTCTTACGGACATTCACTAGTTGATTGGGTCCCATCACCACACTCAGCCCTCAAGCCCTGGACCCATTAGCAAGACAATATCTCCTATTTATAGACCAGTAACTAAGCGGGTAGCCCAGAGTACGCTCTCAAGTATTATACTTACCCATTGGAGTTAAAGTCGAAAGCACCGAACAATACCTGGGACATCTGTCCCAGGGCCATTCGTCCGTCTTGGGCATTTCCAGCATGAGCAATGGAACGCATAGGGCGAGCTCAGTGAGCATGGTCATTGGGGAACTGCTTGAAATGCCTGTGAGGAGTGATGTGCTTTGTACTTTCGCTTGTAAAGTTCCCACTTTTGACATTTGAAACCTGAATCTTAGAGCTGTGCGACTTTTTCGAGGTACCCTCCCTAGCCACGAAGCGAACCAAATGTCACACACCCGTTCAATGGCGAAATTTAATCAACAGAGGAATGTACAACTGGAGTAGCGCTACCAAAAAACGAGATGGATTAAGTGTGGCAATGAACAAATAGAGATGACCTTCAATTTGTGCGATGCATTTCTTATGCCGTCATTAACTGACGGCTTTTATAGACGCTCAGTTTGTTGTCCACCAATTCAACTGGTTCGCAAGAATGTTTCAACAAACTACGAAAACTTTTCTGGAATTCAAAAAGGGAGGAGTAATGGGGGTGGAGCATCTAAGGTGTCGATTGGGGCTTCTGAATGGCATGTAGAACGACGGGGCAACTAACTTATTCTGAGGCAGCTAACCAAAGTATTGGGTACTAGGGGACACCTAGTCAGAATTGGTGCGCGCCTGAGTGGATTCCCACCATGGAGCCAGGCCATTTCATTCACTCATACACCCAATGGACGTGGCTCGCTTGTTACTTAATGGCCAGGGTCTAGTTCTAGGTTGGTTCTTTAGCAGTACAGTCTAACTTCAATGGCCCATGCTACCGTCCCTATCCCTCTCTCCACTTCCTTTGTACTGTCATACCTAGTTATTTTATTTCCGAGCTGTCCTAGTAGCTAAGGTCACACAGATTTTCTCGGCACCCCAGAACGGGTCGATGTTATTTATTTATTCGTTTATTTGTTTATCAGGTCGGAGGTGGTGTAGTGGCAAGTGGCACACTATCTCACATGCACGGTCAGGGGTTCGAATTCCGGCTCGATATCTGCCTAGGCCAACCAAGCCTTCCGTCAATTCGGGGTAGGTTAATTGGTACCAGACTCGTCTGGGAGGATAAAAGCACTGACTTGTATATCGGCTAGCTACCACAAGTCATTCATTGTCTAGGCCATACACGCGTTCAATGCTACACTAGGATTTCGATTGGAAGTCGAATGCGTGGGCGCTTCCCTCAAGAGGGGATTGATTAACGCCAAAAATTTTATTTATTTATTATTTACTATATTTGAATGCTACTGAAATACTAAATATGCTTTCTAGAATGATTGATGTTTAATCAAAAACCTTGCGATTTTCGATTCCCCTTTCTGGTGCACCACTGGTTCTTCTCACAACAATACTATTTTCACCGAGTACATTCCTTCTTGGCCATACCTTTTAGTGTTTTTCTACCGAGTAAATCGAATAAATCGAATCATAACTTGTTATTCAGTGTTTATGCAACGATGTGTTGGTGGGCGATGTTGCCAAGACGAAAACCGGAACATTTGTGACTGCAGGGCAACTGTGAGTACTACTTTTAGTGTTCATAACTGGCTGGCGTCAAGGTGTCGAGAAAGGCCTTGATCAGGTGCCAAAAAAGTTTTGGACATGAGGATACCTAGCCGTTCGCGGAAACGATATAAAAAAACTTCCCTACCACGTACCACGCAGTACTGGGCAAAAAGGACTATTCAGCTATGAATCTGCTCCACAGGAATACGCCACGCATTCGACTTCTATTCATACGTGAAGTACCACTGCAGTGCCCATGTAGCAAACACGATCGCTAACCTGAAAGGAACAGCCAGCCGGCTAAAAGCTTATATGTAGTGCTGTCTCTTTAGTAGCAAAATAGCGCAATGGATAGGCATTGTATCCAAAAAGCATATGAACGACACCCAATGTCGTCTGCTGCTGCATATTTTGCACACAACTTAGCGGCCCTTGTGTTTCCATTTGGGTGAAGTCCTCCTTGGTCAAATTGGTGTCATCAAAACGAATCAAGCTACGGACGATTCCTGGGATGGACTCCAAAAGAATAGAAGGCCTTAAAGCATGAAGACGCTCCTACATGGGATTTTATCCTGGGACTACTTAAGCCTCACCGAAGTTCCTTATGCACAACCACTAGGTCTCCCACATCGTGCAAGCTGGCTATACTGTTTAGGGAGTGATGACACGGTGTGAGGCGTCACATAACATTAGTAGAGATCGGCCCCCTCATAGTGGAATTGCGCCTTTCAACCCTCCCATTCCAATCAAAAAAGGTAGTGAATTGTTGTCTTGTCAGGGAGTTGTTTATTGAATGCCCAAAACACTTATCCTTTTACCCTTCCCCAATCGGCTATATTTAGTTTCCTTTAATTCTACAACCAGTCATCACAAATGATTGATGTTATCACGATGGTTTCATTAGAATATGAATTCGGCACAAACACAAATAACAGATTTGTCATTACCTTTCCCAAGTGCACCATCAAGTCACCTGGCATTCTTATGAAAACTGGAGAACAATCAAAGAAATCTCACATGAAAAGGTAGCCATGACTTGGGAATTGGAGAAAAAATCCAAAAAAAAAATGGTGCGAAAACATCGACACCTAGAGATACGCCGTAGCATTCGACTTGTGCTCAGAATTGTTATGGCTTTTTGAATGCGTACATGACCTATACGATGAGTTGCGGTGGCTATCCGATGTTAAAATCTTTGGTTTTATCCCTAGACCAGACCTAGTACCAATATACCAACCTTGGAAGGATGGAAAGTTTGGTCGGATATCGATCCGGGACTTGATCTTCGGACCATGATAGTGCCCCACTTGCCCCATGATAGTCATTTACATCTCTGCCCTTTCTTTAACTTGCTTCTCCCCCGAAATCTGTTGATGTTAGACGTTGTTGTCCAAAATCTATTGGTTGTATTGACTCTCAAGAGCGGTCCTACGGTAGACTTCAAACAATCATGGCTGAACGGAATAGACGGGAGTGGCATGGAATGATGGGCAAACTGACAACAGCTCAACGAGAACAGTGGCCTTCAAACTTCGTTCCCACTCACATCATCTAGCCAGCATGACAATTCGCGCAGTTTAGTGCTGAGGACTGTAGAGATTGATTAAGTGAAGTGTGTTATTGATAGAAGTAAAAGACTATGGTCCCATCGTTTGAAGAGCTACCCTTATTACGATTGGTTGAGGTAGTCCAGCCCGAGTATGCATCCTATAGTGATCATTGACCGGAATAAACGCTTAAGATAAATTGTTCATCTTCCGAAGGTGATCCATAGAATCAGATACTTATTACTTTTAGCATTACTATTTGAACGAAGTATGGGCAGATGTGATGTAGTGGCAA